TCAGTCACTGCAGAGATGCTCGGCATCTCTCAGGCAGCACAGAATGACAAAGCCTTGGCTGACAGTCTCTGAGATGTCTATCATGTGGGGCAAGAGGGTCTAAGGAGTTAAGGGTTGATTGTGGATGGGGAAAGTTTCCAAGGATGGTCAGCTCCATTCTGGGACAGCTACAGCAAGTTATCCAACAGGGATGCCTTGGCCATCTCAGTCAGAAGGGCATTTGGGAGTGGGGAGGTCTCTTAGATCTGGGGCAGTGATCAGATGATAGGACTTATTTAACTGGGCACCAGACATATGCCAAGAATGACCTTAGTTAAGTCATCTCCCTTCCCAGGCCTTAGTTTCCCCATCAGCTAATTGGAAAGGCTAAAGTAGACTAGACAGATAATCAGTAAAGATCTTCTGTCCTGTGTTCAGCTGTCCTCCTAGCTCAGCTCTCTTTCTTTTTCCTTTTCTTTCTATCCTTCTTCCCACATCTCCCCACTCCTTCCTTTTCCCTCTCTCTTTCTATTTTCTTTCATCTCTTCTTTCTTTATTCTCTTTTCCTCTTCTGTATTTTTTCCTTTTTCCTCCTTCTATTGTATACTCTTTTTTTCTCTTCAGCTCTCTTCTCCCCCATTGCTGCTTCTCCTAGAAACACCATAATGGATCAGGGATATACTCTGGACCTCTACCCAGTAGCCACTGACATCCTTCCCTAAAGAGGACATTCAAAACCGTCCTCTGCCACATGACTGGGCATTAAATGACCAGACATGACATAGAGGCTGTTTCTTGTAGAAAAAGTGTGGATTTGGGGGGCAGCTAGGTGGCGCAGTGGATAGAGCACCAGCTCTGGATTCAGGAGGACCTGAGTTCAAATCTGGCCTCAGACACATAACACTTACTAGCTGAGTGACCCTGGGCAAGTCACTTAACCCTTATTGCCTAGCCAAAAAACAAACCAAAAAAAAAAAAGAGGGTGGATTTGCAGTCTGGAGATCTGGTGCCAGATTCTAGGGACCACACCCTTCATATCTACATGGTGTTGGGCAGGTCAGCTACCTCTTTGGGCCTTGGTTTACTCACCTGGAAAATGAGGGAATTGGACCATGATCTCTAGTCACCATCCATCCATTAATCCTGTGAACCAAAAGTTCTGTTGAAAGAATGGAGACTGTTTAGCTTGGGGAGGAAAAGATTCCCGGAGCCATGAGAACTATCTTCAAGTATTAGAAGGGATGGCACCTGGAAGAGGGATTTCATTTGTTCTTCTTGGCCCCAAACAGTAGAACTAGGAGTAGAGGGGTGTTGGTGGGGAAGGGGAATTACAAGGAGGCAGATTGAGGCTTAATGCCAAGAAAGACTTCCTGCCAATGTGAGCTGCCCAGCGATGAGAGAGGCTGACTCAAGTCAAGCTTCACCCTTTACCCAACCATTGCTGGAGGTCTTCAAGAAGAGGCTGGTCAGCCCCACCGTCACAAAGCCTGTCGAGGGATTCCGGTACTGGGAAGAGCATTGCCTTAGGGACCCTCTGAGGTCTGTTCCAGCCCTGAAATTCTGCAGTTCTCTCAAATGTGATTTGCCAACTTCTTATTTTAATTAAAACCCCCCAAATCCCTGCATCTCAGAGTGACAAAGCTAGGTGGGATCTTTGAGGGCAGCCAGCCCAATCCCCTCATTCTGCCAAGGAGACAAAACCTTAGCAAGGGAAGGGACCCCTGCCCCCTAGGCCAAACAGCAAGTCAACAGAGCTGCTCTCTTCTGTTGGGGCTCACTCCTCAAGTCCAGGGCTGCTTTCAAGCCGCCAGAGTGACCTGGTGCCTCAGCTGGGGGTAGTGAAGCTTGGAAGTGGAGAACAGGGTACCATGAGTGCCCATCCCAGAATTGCTGCACCCTCCCCAATTTTTTTATCCCCTAAAAGCTCCAAGCTCAGCAGAAGCTCTGGATCTCGTCTGCGGGCCGGTGATTAGAATGCTTTTTATGGGCTGCTAAATGACAAACCAATTTGTTACCTGCCTACATAAACATTCACTTGCATTAGCCCTAGAATACTTCATTTTTATTAGCCCAAGCGTTATCTTTTTATGAAGACACAAGGGCTGCATAAAATTAGGGTGCACATGGAAGATGCAATTTACATTTTCCCTAAGTCAGCGGAAATGTTCCAAAGCCAAATCATTTGAGTGTGAGGGCAATGAATGGGCATGCTAGCAAGGGCAGTGCCTACTGAGGGCCCTAGTAATGGCACCCACGACATGCCAGCTGCCAGGTGGGGCAAAGACAGCAGCTCTCAGGAAGGCCCCTCAAGTGGCCTGTTTTGGAATAAATGTGAAGATAACAATGACTGTAGTAAAAAGAATGCCTGGGCTGCCAACCAGTAATTGTGGCTGCCTAGGGAGGGAGCCAGCTGTTTGGGGGAGGTTTAGGGAGAACCCCAAATGGAGGGAAGGTGGGGATCTAAAACCCAAGTTGTGTCTAAAGGTCTGTCCCAAGGAAGCCTGAGCCAGAAGGTCAGGTGAAATGGACCCCAGTGGAGATCTCATGGGGGGAAACCTCTCTGTCCATCCATGACCTCTTGTCCTGTGCAGTCTTTAGTCTATGTGTATATACATACATGGATATATACATGCATATATGTGTATATATGTATATAGTACATGTGTATCTATGTCGATGTAGCTATATATCTACATATGGATGTATGTATCTTTATCTATCTATATTCTCTCTCTCTCTCCCTCTTGACATACACATACACATACACACACATTATTAATCCTCACCAAATTATGGAAGAGGATTGGAAGAGATCTTAGAACACAGAATAGAGAATGTCAGAGCTTAGAGAGATCTTAGAACTTAGAACACAAAATGTCGGTGCAGTGGAAATCCACCAACCATAACTTCAGAGCTGGTAGGGACATCTTCTGAATGCAGAATATCAGAGTCTGGAGATATTAGAACATAGAACACAGGATGTCAGAGCTGGAGAAGACCTTCGCACATGGAACTGAGAATTCCAGAGGTGGGAGGGAGCTGAGAAAAGAGGATGTTAGGGGTAAGAGTGAACTTGCAGAGCATGTACTCTGAATCTACTATCCCAACTCTCCCTTGCATCGATGAATCTACTATACACCCTGAGGTTCAATGGGTGGTACTGAGGGGTTGGGAATTGTCTATCTCTAATAGCTCATGAGTCCCCATCAGTGGACTTCCCCCTCACCCAAGATGGTCACGTAGCCAGACTTAAGTAGCTTTTAGAAAGGGATATTTATTAAGATGTGAGTAAGAGCAGTAAGGACAATTGGTACAAAAAAATCCCCCAAATGTTGGACACACTCTCCCATAAATACATACTGAATCGAGAGAGGAAGTAAGTTTAAGCCAAGAGAGCACGTGTGGCAAAGGGGTAGCTCATAGCTCCTGCTTCCCCTTAGGCGTAGTGAATGGATCGTTTTTCCTGGGCTCTTTATAGAGCTGTCAATCTGAGTCCAGTGTGTCCTTGGCTTCTGATGTAGGCACCACTATCAGCCATTTCAGAGACAACACTAAGATGCCACTGGAAGGATGGGAAATCTTCTGGTCCTCTGAGGTTCATTAGGTCTTCCTTCATGAGGTCCATGGGGGTGTGAAGATGAAGGCCAAAGTCAAAGTAATCTTCCCCTCCTCCTCCAAGCAACCCCTCAGAGGGGTTAGATAGAATGCGGTCCTCACTTGCTGCCTACCAGAGTCGCTGTCCCTCAGTTGGCACTAATCTGTGCACAGGAGCATGACCAGATATCCTCACCCAACCTGGAGACTCCTTTTCTGCATGGTCGCTCCGGCTCATCAGAGACAGCTAATCTAATCAAAACCTTTTCACACTTGGTTGCAGTGCCTTTGATTGATTTGATTCAGCTGAGACACATTCCTTGGTTGTGGTAACTGGGACTAGAATTTTATTATTTTATTTAAATAGGATGGGGGTAATTGGATGGATTTACTCAATCAATCCCATCCTTAAACTTAGAACATAGACAAGTGAATGGATGTCAAAGGTAGAAGAGACCTTAGAACATGGAAATGAGAATGTTAGGGTTGGAAGTGATCTTAGAACAGGGAATGGCAGAGAGGGGCTTAGAACAGAGGATGTCATTGGATTTGTTTGTCAGGAGATCATTAGTATCTTGTAGGGGAGTGGTTTCAGTAGAGTTGTGGGGACAGAAACCTGTTGCAAGGAGATGGAGAGGGTAGATGAAGAGGGAGGACTGTTGCTCCCCAAGTTTTGAGGATGTCCATGACTTCTCAGGCCTCACCCTTTTTGACCTCTTGGTAACTTGAATCTGTGGATGAGTGCCCTCTGAGAAGCTCTTTGCTTCATTCTCATCTTCTTTCCAACCTTCTCGTCCTCTTGCTGACCCCTAAATGTAGATGTCCCCCAAAGCTCTTCCCAGCAAGGAGAGGCAGGTGTGCAGAGGAAGAGGTGGGGATTCCGCTGATAATGGCGGGAGGAGACTCCAAGAAACACTAACAAGAAGAATACTATCTGACATTTCTAGAAAGTTTGCAAAGCATTTTAAATGTTATTGAGTTTGCTTTTCACAATAACTCTGTGGGACATGATCAGGAAACTGAGGCTGAGGGAGATGAGGTAATTTGCCCAGCATCAGCCAACTAGTGAGTATCTGCAAGTAGGAATCAAGCTCTGACCTTTCTGACCTCAAATTCGACATTTATATAGTGCCTACTACATGCCAGGCATTGTGCTAGGGCTTTATAAATATTACCTTATTTGATCCTCACAACTTCCCTGGGGTTATTATCTCCATTTTACAGATGAGGAAACTGAGGCAGACAGAGGTTAAGTGATTTGCACGAAGCAAGTGTCTGAGGCTGGATTTGAACTCCAGTCTTCCTGACCCCAGACTCTATCCACTGCACCATTGGTGGTCATCTGCATCCTTGCTGGCCACATGATCCACCATTCAGGGCATCCCCTGGCCCTGCCTGCCTGACGTCTCTTCTTTTTCCTCTTGCAGGGAACCTCCATGATGGAGCCGAGCAGAAGGTGGTTTTCATTACTGGCCGAATCCACCCTGGGGAGACCCCCTCTTCCTTTGTGTGCCAGGGTGAGTGTCCTAGGGCCCCAGGAGCTCCTCCCGTGCCCCCTCCCCTCCTTTTCTCTGCCATGTTCTTGACGCTCCATCACAGGTCTCTGGAACAGCTCAGCGTGGGACAAAGTCACAGGCTTAACATTTTAGAACAAAAGAGGCCTTCCAGGGGCGTCTAGTTACCGTCCAGTGCCACAGTCTCCCTTACAGACTCCTCTTTCCAATGATGGAGAGCTCACTACCTATCAAGGCAGTCTGTTCTGTTGTCGGACTTTTTGATGGCTAGAAACTCTTTTCTAACATTGAACCAAAATCTCCCTCCTTATAACTTCTTCCTGCCAAGCCTGTTTCTTCTCTCTGGGGCCAAGCAGAACAAAGCTAATCCTTCCTCAATCTGACAGCCCTTCAGATATTTGAAGATGGGTCTCATGTGTCCTCCCACCCCCCACCCCCTATCCCTCACCCAGTTCTTCTTTTCTGGAGGCTAAATATTCTGAGTCTTTTTTCCTGATCCTTTTGTGATATCCCAGCAATGGATAAGATACAAATCTGCCAGTAGGCTCAGATGATGACAAGCCATCCCCAAACCCCCTCCCCAGCAATGCTTCTATTCTAGGCTGCATCATTTCATTCTCTAGATAATCACCGAAAGGAACAAGGCCTGTCCAAAAATGGGATGGGCAGCTTTTAAGCTATCACTCTAAGTCTTCAAATGGATGACCATTTTTGAGAGGTATTGTAAATAGGACTCGTTACCCAGGGCAGGAATTCGATTCAGTGCCCACACAGGTCCCTTCCAACTCTCTGATGCTGTTTTTAAAAAATTCTGCGAACCAAGTCATAAACTCAGCACTGCCCAGCTATTTTCTCTTTTTTGGACAAATAATGTCACTGGAAATAGTCTCTGGGAGCCTGGCAGCCTTGCTCCGTCTCTAATTTCATAGCTCATTTGCTGTGTGACCTTTGGCAAGACACTTAACATCTCTGAGCATCAGGCCCTTCATTTATCCCTTCATCAGGGATAAAAACCCTGCCGTCAGCTTCCTGTGAACACTTGGGACAAGAGGGAGGAGATGCAGAGAGCAGAGTTAGGGTCTACGGGGATTCATTTCCAGAGGCTTAATAGGATGTCGAGGTGGCAGGAACCTTGGAGGTCATCCACACCAAAGGCTTCATTCAAGAAATGGAACCGAGGCCCCCAGAGGGGAATAACTTTATAGGGTCACACGTGACATGGTGGGCGTGGAGCTCAAAGACTTTCATTGGAACTGCAGTGCCCCTTGGGAATAAGAGTGTCAGGACAAGCTTCTTAAGAATGAGAGCTGTCCAAAAGTATAATGAGCTGGCCGCCTCAGGAAGTAGTGAGCGCCCCGTTACTGGAGGTCTCCAGACAGACAGAGTTCCTTGTCAGGTATATTATAAAAGGGATTCCCATTCAAGTAGAGGTTAGATATGATGACCTCTATGGTCAGCTCTGAGGCTCAAGGGCGTGTGACTTTGTCTTCCCTGGATGGATGGATGGTTGGGTGAAGCAGTGGTTTTTTTTTCCCCCGAAAATGGAAGTAAAGAATAGGAAAGGTAGAAGACAGTGATTCCCTTTACCAAGAACAATCCAGAAGAGCTGATGCCAGGGTGTCACTGGCAGATAGTCTTCAGAAACGCAAAGAAGGGTCATGGTGTGGAGCTGGAACTGGAGACAGGTTCAGGGAATAAGAATGCCAAGGACTAGGGGAGGCCGGGCCAGCTCTGGGATCCAGGCCTAGGCATTCCTTCACCTTCCTGGAGCATCTAAGATCATAACCATAGTACCTCAAGCTCCCCTCCCAGCCCTGACAGTCCCTTATCCTCAGGCCCCTCCCAGCTCTGACATCTCTTATCTTCAGGCCCCTCCCAGCCCTGACACTCCCTGTTCTAAGGCCCTCCCAGTTCTCCCAGCCCTGATATTCTCTGCTCCATATTTTATGGGGGGGGGGGGGGAAGGGAGGAGATAAGCTTTCAGGTTCTTCCCACCACGGGCGTAAAGGAAAGCCGATTTTTCCATACTGTTCCGATTAGAGGTCTGCCTCCACTGCCCCCCGAGTCACTTTTGAACTTCAGAATCACAGAATCCCCAAACTGGAGAAAGCCCCAAGTCATCTTGTCCAGCCCATCTGTATCGGGTCAGGAATCCTGCCAGCGCCATCCCCAAGTGGCCAGTTAGCCTCTGCTGGAGCTCTCCCTGGAGGGCAGCTCCTCCTCCTTGAGGCTCCCAAGCCTCATGGGGCAGCCCCATTCTTAGGGAGTCTTTCCCAGCATCCAGCCTAAGTTGGTGTCTTTGCAACACCTTTCCTTACTCTCCCTCCACCAGGGATCCTGGTTTTGCTCTCTGGGGCTGAAGCAAAATGAATCTTCCCTAGGATTTCTCTTCCCTAAGACAGTTGGTCACATAACCCGACAACCACCAATTTCTACCTGAGTCTTCTCAGGCTAAGCGCCCAAGAATTCATTGGCCTTGTTCCAGGTCACAAGGGCTATTTGTGGCAGAGCTCGAGGTCAGCCTCAGGTCCTCAGACTCTCAACCTAGCCCTCTCTCTACCGTACCATGAGTGGAGGATGGGGACTCCTACATCTGGTGTGAATTGGGAAAAATGCCTTGTGAAATCCCTTCTGGATCTCTTAAAAATCCCATTCTTCTGTGATGGGGCTGCCTCTTAAAAAGTGTGGAGGTCCCTACAAGGGAAAGAGGGAGGAAGGAGACATTCCTGCTTGATGCGATCAGCAATGAGGGAAGGGGTAGGATCAGAGAGGGCTTCCTAGAGGAGGTGACCCTGACCTGAATACAGAATACCTAATCTTGGGAATTCAGACCCCAGCTCTCTATGTACAACAGGCACCAAAGCAATTTCTGATTGCATTTGTGCAACTAGTTTCAGAGACAGAGAGGCAGCCAGGAGTGAGAACAGAGTGTTGGAATAGGAGTTAGGACCCTTGGGTTCCTGTAGGTTGAAGGAACTGGGAATGCGTCATCAGGAGAAGAGAAGATTCAGGCAAGACTCGCTACTTGACAGAGCCCAGTAGATTCCAGGTTGTGGGAATCAGGGCCTGTCCCTCTCATTTCTCTTTCTTTTCTCTTTCTTTTTTTCTTTACAAGAACTTTACGGTTTATAGAGTACTTCACAGTTTAGCTCCCATTCTTTCTGTGCTCCAAGGTCCCTTTAGCCTGTAAGAGGTACAAGGGATTTAGGTTCAAATACTGGCTCTACTGTCTGTGTGACCTTGAGTAGGTCCCTTTGCCTCTCTTGGCCTCACTTTCCCTTTCTGTAAAACATAGGGGTCGGTCCAGAGGATCCCTCTGGTCCCTCTAGCTCTCTAGCACTAAGTTTGAAAATGAAGTGAGGCTGGGCAGACCTCGATTATCCCAACAGGGGGCTGGGGAAGTTGGCAGAATTGAATTCCTGTCACTCGGACCATATGTTCCTCGTGACTCACAGTCCCACTGCTTGTCAGCGTCTCAGAGCCGCCCCATGCTGCAGCCTGAAGGTAATGATCCGGAAACCGAGGCTTCAACACTATTTAAAGGGGCCCTGCCGTGACTGTCTGGTGTGGGCTCTCCTCTCCCACCCCCACCTCCTGAAGCAGGCAGGCAGGCCTGACTGCTCCCTTCCCCTGACCAGGCCCCTTTCAGTGAGACCTCGGTCACGTGCTAGAGAAAACAGGCAGGGTGACCCAGTGACTAGAGGACCAGACTTGAAAAAAGAGAGGCATGGCTTCAGATCCTACCTCTAACCCTTGCTCCCTGTGTGACCATGGGTAAGTTTCCATCCCTTTTCTGGGCTTCAGTTTTCTCCTCTGTAATATAAGGGTGTTGGCCTGAATAATCTCAGATTCCTTTCTGCTCTAAAACCTTTGGTCCTTTGTGCCTTCAGGGGGAGAGTCTAGTTATGACATTATGAGCCCCTACCGGTGCATTTACCTTTAGTAGGGAGCCACTAGACACAATTAGCTAAAAAGCAAAGGGATTTTACTAAAGGAGCATGATAAGAACAGTAACTGCCCAACATCCATCTTCCCCTCATTGACCTGGGGCACTCTCTCCTACAAATATGCAGAGTTTGCTGCCTATAGTGGGCACACACTATATGGAAAGGCACATGTGTGATGAATATACGTGGCCAAGGCAACTCATACCTCCATCCATGATCTCAATTTGGAGTAGGTCTCTGCTAGGCAGGTTACTCAGCTGAGCTACCTGAGTCTGCTCATGTCCCCAGCTCAACTCCCAACCACCAGGACTAGTTCTCCCTGAATTCATAACTGTCTCTCTCCTCATGCTCCTGGCAGTAACCTCCAATGACTTTCTCTGTTTCTGTCTCTGTCTCTTTGTATCTTTCTGTGTCTCTCTGCGCCTCTGTGTCTCTGTGTTTCTGTCTCTGTCTCTCTTGCTCCCTGCCGGGTGTGTCATCTTCTACGGTTTGAGCAGCTCTGCTGATGGTGAGGTGGGAGGGCTGGGGGGAAGAGAGAGAAATCCCCCACCCCAACCTCTCATCACAGGGGCAACTTTACATAGCTGCTTCCTGCTTAGACCGCATCTCAGGCTTGGCAAGCTTGCTTTACGGAGGGCCAACGGAACAAGGCCAGCAAAGCTGCCCCTCCATTTCCATCATAGAGACGTCCTTCACAAGAGTAGAGGCACGTGTGTGTGCTGTGTTCTTCACGTTAATGACCCATCTCTGTTACTGTCTCCTTCTCTTCCCCCTCTCCCCTCTAGCAGAATGACAGCTCTGGGGATGTATTTGTCTACATCCCCTGCACTTAGTAAATGCTTGTTGACTTGTTACCAAAGTGCTTATAAACTAAATCGCCTTTTCTGAACCCCAGCTGGTTCTCCTATAGAATGGGGATAAAATCCTTGCAGTGACCTGGCCAGGATGGCATGGCCAGTAAGCTTCCAAGCTGGCATGTGTACCCTGATCACCCAATCTCGCCTCTAGTGCAATTATCATTATGCCCTGGGTATTCTGCCCAGCCTCAGAGGGCAG